TGGAGGTAGAATAGAATTATTTTTATACATGGAGTTAAGGATTATGTCGATGGCTTCCTCAACAGGGACTTCTGTAAAAAAAATTTCAACGTCGAGTGAGGATAAAATTCGTTGGTTTGCTTGTATAGTTTTTAAATTTTTGAGGAATACATTGTGTGATGTGAGTATTGTTAGGTAGATATGGACTAATTATATCGTTAAGGAATTTTGACAGCTTGTAGATAGGTGGTGGGGTATTTGAAATGATGGCTTATAGGGGGGTATCCGGTTTTATGTATTTTTATGTTTCTGTATAGGTAGCCTGGTTGGTAATATTCAGTGATTTTGTTGATTTTCAAAGAACCAACGTCTGCATTGTTTGATGACAGAACTTTTTAGAGTTTCTGTGGTGTTTTAGTTAATTCGGTAAATTTAGATCAGTCATCAATAATGTGTTGTAATTTCTTACAATAATTCGCTTTGTCCAAAATTACGTATCTGTTTACTTTTTCGACTCGTCTGATGTCGATATTAGAATTGTTTTTTGTTTTTTTCATTTTTATTTTTATTTTTTTGGATAGTTTTGAGTTTTGTTGTTTTATTGTTTTTTTGTTTGTTTCTGCATTGAGAAAGTCTCTCAAGTTTGAATTGACTGTTGTTATACGGCCGGTACCAAGCTGGGATAGTGACTGCTGTAGAATTTCAATTTCAGTCTTTTTTGTGAGGAGCTAATATTTGGGTTGGAGATCGTAATTTGGCCCTAGATTTAGGAAATGTCTTCTGTTAATTTATGACTGGATAGGTTTACATATTTATCGCTGCTATTGGGAAGTAGTATATGTCCTTGATATAGTTTGCAAAGCTTTGTTGTAATTATTTTTCTGTGTATGAGTTGATCTACATTAATACTTCTTGTGGTGTGGTACTGTGCTTCCTTATATTCAAGTTCTGTCAATATGTTTTTTAATGTCTCACTATGTTTTTGGATTTCATTATTTAAATGTTGGATGTCATTTTCAGCTGTTTGTATTTGTCGTAAGACGATGTGTTTTGGTTTCCTGAATGTTGTAGTACTATTTGCCTTGTTGGCTGCAGGGTCATATAACTTTAAAATTGTTTATTTGGGCAGAAATCCCTCCTTTATACATGTTTTGTCATAGAGGACTGACAGGGTACTTCGCTTAAGCTATTAATTTTTTTTATTCGTACAAGATCTTTCTTTTCTGGTGACAAAGTGGGTAAAAATGGTCCAAAGGATCTGCATATCCGAGCGCTTTCGGCTATACTTTTAGCCATTATCATGGACTATTTTTTATTTATTGATGTTTAATTCTTAATTGCAACTGTGTTTTCTATGTATGGATTTTGTATATATGTGTCTGAAGTTATAAGAATGTTTTATTTTCCAACAACAGTCCGCACATTGTGACCGTGTTCGTAGTTAATGTTGAGTGTCGTTTGTCCTTTTTTTTATTATTAGGGCTTCCATTATTTTTAATCACTTTTACATGTGGATGAAGCAATTATACTTGTATTTTCTACTAGTATGTTTCTGATAGAGACTGGTAGGTTTCCGTGTGTTTTTCAATGACTCCTAATTAAGCTATAATCTGGTAGATGTAACGTGAGCCGTCTATCTATCTATCTATCTATCTATCTATATATATATATATATATATATATATATATATATATATATATGTGTGTGTGTGTGTGTGTGTGTGTGTGTGTGTGTGTATGTGTGCACGTGTGTTTATAACACTGGCTAATATATATATATATATATATATATATATATATATATATATATATATATATATATATATATATATATATATGAGTGTGTGTGTGCATGTGCGTGGGCGTGTGTGAGTTCTTGTTCCTCTGCGTGTGTGTGCGTGTGATGAGCGTGTGTGCATGTAGGATGTATAATACTATCTGAAAAAAAGATGATGTGACAAAGGGGAAAATTTATTAACGACGTGTTTTGCCAGAGCATCTGCTCTCTTTGGTTTCCTCAAATAAGAATGAAAGAAAGACAAAATCGGATGTGAGGGAAAATGCTTTGGTATCGCTGAGGATAAACAATCATATGATTATCTTCCCTGACAAAGCCAAAGAGAACGAACGCATTGATGAAGCGTCGTTAATATATTTCCCACCTTTGTGGAACATAAATACTGCCATGGTCCCCTTTATCATTAGTACATTAGAATCCATTCACTAAACTTTTAGCAGTAATCTGAAAATGTTTGGTATCAAGTCCATTGTTCCAATTCCAAAGAAATCTGCATTACTAGGAACTGCTCAAGTTCTTTGAAAGGTGCTCTTTGTCAAAGCATCTCGATGGAAAGCAAATTTAAAGTCATATCTCCAGTGTGATATATTATAATATTAGGTGAAGTAAGCGGTAGAAATTTACTAACGTGTTTGTCTTTTTCTCTATGTTACTATTTTAATTATATCATGAGAAAAATTTAATAAATTTACTTAAAAAATCAATATTTCCATAATTTAATAA